AAAAGGACGCAGCCAGCCAGGACAGCATTCTGGTCATGTGAGCTATCCCACCACGTCTCTGTAATTGCAATGAGCTCATGGCTCCCCACACAGATCTCTAGTTCCTCCTCTTCATCCCCTTTGCTGCCTGCATTGGTACACATGCTTTCCAGAGAGGCAGTCGAGGGTTTCCCTGGAGGGGAGCAAGAGGATCCACCACAGCCATCCACACCCTTGAGGTGGTTGGCCTTCTGGATCTTGTCTTGGGAGTCAGCTAAAGGAACATGTGTCACTGCTGTGGTTGGCCAGGCTTATTCCCCACTTGGCTAAAGTGGCATGAGCATTGCCACCCTGGACCCTAACCCCCAAGTCCTTTAAAGCCTACTTCACCAAGTTCACCATTCCTTCTGCTTCATGTTTTGTTTCAGTGTCTGTCCACAGGTCAAATTGAATTTGCAACACAATTGGGTGAATGATTAAAACTATTCCCTCTAGTGGATTTTTAAAAATTAATTTCACCTGCAGCTACACTGCTTTTTTGTCTAGTGCGAGCTGCTTTCTGTTACAGTAGCCCAGCTTTCACTAATCTAAATAACTCTATTTTTAAGCATCAATATTTACAATTCCAATTCTCTAATTTCCACATCTTTGTATCCTGACTAATTTGCTATCTTTTTAAGTAAGCAGGTTGAGGAAATCTGGGAAATATCATAAAGCTTAGATGGAAGTTTTCCTAACAGAGGCCATCAGTGGCCTAAAGAGGACACCACCAGCTGGTTCCTGCTGTCTGATGGGAACAGCTTCCATCAGTACTGCCAGCAGCCTGGACCAGCAACCTTTACGGGAAGTCACCAAGTGCCTTAGGGCACACCACTGTGCATGCTGCACCCTCAAAACAAACAAGATGAGACTCTTCTTCCCACAATACACACTTAAACAGTGGAACTTATTGCTAAGGTGCTGTGGAAGCTAGAAGATTACAGGAAAGGGTTGAAATTCATGGGGGAAAACAATAATCCATCAAGGGCTCTCAGACAGAAAGAGATCATTTCTGGCTGAGAAAATCCTTGAGACACAGACTGCTGAATGTCAGAAGCTCCTCCTAAGGAAGTACTGCTACCAATGTGCCCATTTCTCATTTTTTTCCAAGGCCTTTGGTACTGGCCTGAGTATTTTAGAGACAGCAGCTCCATCCCACCTTTGACAGGGAGTAAGACCCTTCATGGCCTTCCTTGGGAAAGCAGGGACCATCCAAGGGGAAAGAAAAAAAGGAGAGAAAAACAAATGATCTCTGGGACACTTCTCTCCGGGTGATAAAGAGATCAAAAAAGAAGAAATAGGGAAGGCTAAACAGAGCATCCGCTGCTCCTGAGATCTCCAAGGATGTCCTTGTCTCATGCCCTGAGATGCACAAGGTGTTGCTCAGTGGCAGGACTCGCTCCATCGGTGGAGATGGCCTCAGCCAGCACCAGCATCCCCTGCAAACCCCTTGCTTCCCAGTGCTGGGGCTGCTGGCAGGGACACAGCACTGGAGACAGGATGATGTGTGAGAAGGTGCTTTTGCCTGGTGCAGCATGTCTCCTGCTGTGGTCAAGTGCTCAACAGTACTCTTTTCCCAAGAAATCAGACTTGGACTTTACACTAACAGTTTTCAAAAACCTCGTCACATCGACTGCCACACTTCATCTATAAATGTGTAATCCCTTTGCCTTCAGAAGTAATTTTAAAAGACTGTTCACACTTTGCTATCTTCTCCAGTTCTCATCACCCGCCAACTCTGCAGACCTATGACAAGCCATGCACTTAAAGTTTTAAATGATATTAATCTAAATATGCTGAAACATGCAGTTGTTTTCCATGAAGAAGAATAAAACTTGCAGGACACACATTTTAGAGCCTTTGGTACATCCTGTGGCTTATTGCAGAATCCAGGTCACCCCCTTGCATCGAGGGGTGGGAAGTGAGGATGGCTATCAATTTACAAAGCATAGATAACCATAAAATATTTTCTTTGTTTTGGAAAGGGAACTCTCTATAATGCAAGACTGACAACCTCTTCTATTTTAACACACTCGCCGCCAAAATAATAAATGTGTAAGTGCTGATTTTTTGAGCAGGGCATTTTCATCCGCTCTGAAGCACATGTTGAGGGACTGACTTGCTTTAACTCACTTTCCCAGCAAAGAGATTTGTCCCTCACAAAAGGTCAAGCTGTAAGCAAGCAGATAAGCTTGCTTTGCAGAGACTGGTTTTAAATGTATTAAACCATGGGATCACACCTCGATAACCCACTCTACATAATGTAAGATGATACCTACAAGCATTTTATAAGCTGATTTTTGATGTTAACTGCCCTTCTGTACCATTTGACAGCTTACACATCTATTTCCAGTTTCATTCCCCACGGAGCAGCTGCAGCTCTCAGAGGTGTGGGATCATGGATATGCATTTCAGCTGATACTCACGGCCACCTCCAGAGCAGGGATCGGATCTTCTCCACTCTTTCTGCTCTACCACTGTTTCTCACTAGGCACCACAAATTAACACACCAGCTACTGACAGGTTTTGAACCTGCCCCTCAGACAGTCAATTTCAACATCTTCATCGGCACAACCAGACTGTAATTTTATTATTTCTACCAAGCATTTGGTATTTGGATTTTTCCTCCCCTTGCCTGTTTCTAGCATCCATTTTTTCCCCAATCCCATCAGCATTTTATTTGGTCTATGGTTTATAACAAATCCCATCTCCATGTACATCATTCCTGTACTCTCCACTCTTTGTGACTTCACCCACTTCAGGATTATCTCCAAATGTAACATCTTTACACATCTTGAGTAAACATTCTGTAAAAAAACAAAACAACTCACAAGGTTAAAAAAAAAATAAAATAAAGAAGGACCTGAAAACATCACAAATGCTTAAATCCCTTATTAATCAGTAATAGATGCCAGACCAAAATCACTTATATGTAACAGACCTGATAAAATTCCAAGAACTTGACAGCTAATTTTAATTAAAAGCAGAGTAATACAATACAGTGAAGTGCAGAAAGGTCCACAATGTCCTGATGACAAGCTGATCAAAAGTCTCTGAAGAAATAACTATCTTTGCATCAGGTCTACATGAGGCAGTTACAGCAACCTCCCCGCTCCCACCCAGCGTATCCCACCTTACTCCTGAAGCTCACTGGGTTCCCCTACACACCCCATCAGCCTTTCTCAGTGCACACCTATAAGACAGGTGAAACACAAGCCAGCCATGGGGCATGCTTTGTTGTATACGATAAGGGTATCAAGGTCAGCGTAGAAGCACTGCAAAAAATTTAAAATAAATTTAAAATAAAAAATTAAAACCTTTTTCGGTTTTTTAACACTGTACCCTAGGCTTGAATGCCCTGATCAGCCCATAAGCTCTGGGAAAGCGTCCTGGGACCCGGTGAAAACCTGACAAAGGCAAGGAGCTCTGGAAAAAAAACCAAACCAGCACTTCCCAGCAGTCCATCAAAGTGTCCTGAAGAAAAGAGGCTGTATAAGCTGTTATACCCTTGGGCTGCTGGATGGAGAAACAACTTTATCCTCTTAGAATGACACTTCTTTCATGTCTCACCTTGTGCTCTCTCCCACTTCCCTGCTCTAGTTCCAATTTTCTCAAATTTGCTGATTCAAGAAGCTAATAACACATAAATTAACGACAGTTAAATTTTTTTGGTGTTTGGGGCCAAATCTACTTTTAAAAGCACAGCAGAGATTACTGAATCTACTGAAGAAATCACAACTATTTGAAATATCAAATCACTATTTGAACCTAGATTTGAAAATGAAGGAAACAGTCATCAATAATGCAATAATTGTGCAACATTAAAAAGAGAGCATAGCAATTTCTAAACGATGCATATTGTCCATGCATTTTTGAGAAAAAATACTTAAAATATTCACAACATTTACTTATACTCTTAAACCCCACATTATCAAATCAGACCAGTATCTTATAATTTTAATGAAATCTAAAACAATGTTTTTGAGATAGAAAAGGTCAAAGCCTTGAAATTCTCATAATAAACAAATAGAAAGTTGCAAAGAAGTCATGGGTCAGTATTTGAGTATAGACAGGAATATAATATAATTTAAAAGACCCAAGAGACACAGTAGAAAGAGGCTAGTCAAACAATCATTACTGTAGTTTGACTGTGGAGAAATACAAACAAGCAAATAAGGGAGAATTTTTCTTCATTAAAAAAATAAAAAATTATTCCATTCTAGCTACTTTAAATTTCTAGTCTATGTCTGATATGTTTGATACTTTCCCTAATTCATTAATTGTTTGATTCAAACTATTTCTTATCCAGATTTACTTGCCTAAGTAACTTACATACACTTATTAACTAATTTGATTAGAGCACAATCCTTTAGATGATAGCTATTTGGATAGACAGGTCTTGGATCCATGCACTGCAAGTGTGTTGTTAGTTTAGACCCTGGAAATTCATGGCAACTGCATCAGCCTCATTTAATCTGTACCTTGATTTACATTATTCAGCTCTGCTATTGCTCACAATTTCAGTTTGGAAAAGAGAATGAGTTTCTTCTCTGCTAAAAACTGTTGTATCCAATAATAATAATATTATTTCAAGCAGTAATTCTGGCTTGAACTCCACCTAAGGCTTGCTGCCTAAGACGAACAAGACGCAATTCAACCTTTCCTCAGCACAAACCACAATCCAAGCTGGCACTGCACGGGGCTTGGTGCTCTTTTATATGACATGATCATGGCTGAAAGCATCAGCCACAAGGCTTCCTCTCTGTCCAACAGAATATAAAGAGTTTGTGCAACTGTCAGAAGCCGCAAGTGGATAAATCACCTAATACATATATGTACACAGATATATATAGATATGCACACAGACATCCACGGAAGCAGAAGAAACAGCAGAAATGCTGTTCACGCTGATTCTATACGCGTGACTTGGCTACTCTTGGTCATTACCCAAAGACATCAACCAAACCCAAAGGGCTTCTCACCTGTGGCAAGTGTAACTGGAGCCCCTCGCTGGGAATGGGCTGTCGAGATGGGGTCTGGTCCAGCTGCATGTTAAACAAGGACGCCAGGGCTGACTGAGCAGCCCGAGCTTTTGCCAGCTTTTTGTTCCTTCCCGAGCCTTCAAAAGTCTGACCATCCACTGCCACAGCCATGACAAAGTTTTTAGCGTGGCTCTCCCCACTCTCTGAGAGAAACTCGTACTTCAGCCCTGGCCGCAGCTCGTTGAGGATCATGACGGGGTTCTTCCCGCTGGCAGAGGGGTAGGGCAACGGCGTGGGGAGAGGCGACTGGGAAAGGCTGCTGGCTATGGCAGACGATGGCAAACTGTAGTCCCCGCTAGAGCTAAAGGACCCAACCCCATTGGACCCCAGGTAGAAGGAAGCATCAGAAGGGACCGGTGTTTCGAAACCATTGAAAAGGGTGTCGGGGAAGTCCGCCTGGTCAGAGGTGAAGTCCGTGTTGACTGACAGAGTCCTCCCCATTGCCAGGTGGGCTTCCGAGGCATTTGGAAACTGGACGAAAGATCGCAGAGCCTTCTCAGCAGCGTGAAGCTTGGCTTTCTTTTTCGTCGGGCCAGACCCCTCGAATACCTGCCCGTTGACTTCAACTGCCATCACGAACATGGGGGCGTGGACCGGCCCTGTCTGAGAGAGGAGTTTGTACTGTAATCCAGGTTTAATCTCATTAAGTTGCATCAGGGCGTTCTTTGGCAGAACGGGGCCAGGCGTTTTCTTCCTCTTCTTTGGGCGAAATTTGGAGTGGCCATTGTTGCCCTCCTCCAAAGGACGCTTCCTGCTGCTGCTGCCACCGCCATTGGAGAGCTGTGTCCCCTCCCCGGTGCTTTGCCCACTGCCATCCTTGGGGGGAACGTTGTCCACATTGCGGTTTTCTTTAACATCGGTGCTGCTCGAACCTGTGGTGCCCAGAAAGAGTAACTTACAATGCCTTCGTTGCAGGATCTTGTAAATGCAAAATTTATAGATTCCTTTATCTCTCTTTGTAACTGGTTAAGTGATGTGTGCTCACAGGTTAAAAGGTTTACAATACGATCAGAGACAACAATAATGCAATACAACCTCTCAATAATTCAAGAACACATTCAAGAATGATTTTCAAACTACGCATTTGATAAATCACATAGCAATAAAACACTGCAGCTTTTTTTTTTTCCTTTTCATTTAAATCATGCTGGATCAAGACTTTTACTCATAAGTTATGTTTGGCCTGAAAAATGCTTTAAACCAGTAGTATAAGTTATAGTAGCATACACTTATAAAACAAAGAACTACCACACTAATGTTAGTAAAATAAAAACGGATGCTTAAGACTAGTACTAGAAGATGGATATTTAATGCTACTTTATTCTTATTTATGTTACTTTTCTTTTCTCAGTGATTTCAGTTGCTCGAATTGAGAAATGACATAATTGAAACCTGAGCCCCCCAAAAATAGGCAATTCTTTGGTAGGCACCTTGACTGATGAGTGTTTGAATGCTGTTGTTTGTCTTTAGCTATTCAATATTCTCCAAATGCAGTTCTTTTTTACGCTTTTCTAGACTTTCATTTCGCCTCACCCCAATTCCCTCAGGAGCCACAGCTGCCTGCTGTACCACCATGGCCACAAGACCACTTCATGTATTTCCATACAGCTCTCTATTAAGAAACCCTGTATTTGTCATTTACAAGCTATTTTGTAATTGCTTGCAAAGTAAGAAAACTGCTGTCATGGAGTTACAAACCCAAAAATCACAATAAAGATACTCTCTTAAATCTGCAAAATACAAGAAGAGTGGCAAAAGCTGCACAATCACACTGATGACATTGTAATGGGGGGGAATGCATTGTAATATTAATGTAATGATTTATTTTCTAAAGCAGAAAGTTGGTGTAATGATACATCAGATGTATACTTAAAAGAAGTATATTTGCTATAAGGGCAAGGGTCGCATTTTTGTCCTGATAAAGAAAATTAATTATTTCTGCTTTATGTTGGCATTTGTGAATGAAAAGGTAAATTTAGTAGGCCAAGTATTTCTAACTCTTCTTTTCCAAAATTTCAAAATATCTGTATTACATATACACTGACACTAGGTAATGAATATCACTCGAAATGAGAGCAAACAAAGGTGGAAGCTCTCTTTCACAGTGACAAATTTCAACCACATTTTAAGTCTTCCCTAAGAATCCCCTACCATGCACACATCACTTCGCCCAGGTTACAAAGCTGATGGAATGGTTACTAAATTTTCATTTATAACATCCTCCAGCAAAAGCTCGATAGGTTACTCCTTTCGGTGCTCGAAGAGAAAAAAAGAAGGAAAAAAAAAACAGATCAAAAGAAAGAGCCAAAGTAGGAAGACATTTTGTTAAACCACAGTAGCACAACAAAGAATTGTACAGTACCAAATATTAAATTTCAGTCAATTAAATTTGGTCAAGAATGAAACACTTCTGAAGTATGAAATATTCTGAAGCATTTCATTGCTAGAAATCTGCTAAATTTAATAAAGCATCTCTTATAACATTCAGCCACAAATTATATTTCTTGCAGAATATGTGCTATAGGGCCACAACTGTCAATACACAGTGTTCATGTATATATGTTCTTTATATACATATATATATACACACACACATAAACCGATATATATATATATATACACACACACATAAACCATGAAGGAATCTAAGGACAATAGAGTGAATTTTTAAAACTTTCCTTACAGTGATTCTCTTACTTGAAACTGTAATCTCCAAAAATTACATCTAACCTAAACCACCACTTCTGGAACACGACTCTTGCTAGTTATACCAAGAATTTGTTATCAGTCGCTACAATTTTTAGGCTAAACAGAAATCCTTTAGTTACCACTAACAGCCTCTGGCTTTATCGTTTTTACATGAAGATTACTACCCCACTTCTGGAACACGACTCTTGCTAGTTATACCAAGAATTTGTTATCAGTCGCTACAATTTTTAGGCTAAACAGAAATCCTTTAGTTACCACTAACAGCCTCTGGCTTTATCATTTTTACATGAAGATTACTACCAGTGCCTCTGGAAACCACAGAAGGAAAACGTAAGTTGAATAGACTTCAGTTGAACTCAAAAGGAAGAACATTAAGTGTGTTCTTTTATATAGACTTATGTGCATCTAAGTATGGCAGCTGGAGGAACTGCGTAATCCAACTCATTACACAGGCAAGGGAAACGATGCACTCACAGAGAGGTGCTACTTGTAGGAAGCAGGAAAGAAACTTGCAGGCTTACCTTGTCTCAATAAGAAAGGACGGAAGAAAATGATTAATTTTGCCACATTCAGACATGGAGTAACTCCTCCAGCCCAGCCTCTCCCCGCTGCTCAGAAACAGCTCTCCCTTCCCCAGGTATCCCACCTCGTTACAGAAGTTAAGAATGGTGTTTCTACCTCATAACTCACCTCACTCGACTCCCTGCCTGTAACAGGGCCACCAGCAGACACCCAAAGAGAGGGTAAAAACCAGAGCAAGGACATGGCAATGCTTCCCCAAGGCAGCCTCTCATGGAGGGAGCCATAGCTCTGGCCTGTCCCAGAGAGTCTGGCAGAGAGCCACCAGTGGGTTTTTTCACCCTCCAGGAATTTTTCTAACTGCTTTTTCTAACCCCATAAACCCTTGGTATCCACGATGTCCTGGGCAATACACTTCAGAGTTTCATTACACATTGCATGAAAACATCTCCCATTCCTTGCTTTGAACCCCCATCTTCTAGTCACACTTAAGGCATCTATTTTGTTTTATTTGCCTTTTTTTTTTTCAATTTGATGATTCCGATATTAAACACCCTGTGCTGCTCATGACTTTACAGATATCTCTAGTATTTCAACCTTGTCATCCCTCCTCTACACCACAGAACTCTAATTGCCCCTTGTCCTGAAGTCATCCTCCTCTTCTCACAGCAGTGGACCCACAGCTGGATTCACTGTGGACTTGCTTTTCTTGCTCCATTCTGCAATCTTTTTCATTCTGGTAATATGTTGTTTTAGAGCTCGTAAGACTTTGGGGAGTCTCTTGTTCCAAAGAGAATGAGCGAGGGCATCTTCATGCACCCCCCCCCCAAAAGTTCTGGCTGATTCAGGATCCCATCGTAGCTCAAGCTGGGAGCATCAGTACTCAAAAGGAGAATAATTTTGTTGCTCTGAAGCAGAGGTCATGGCAGACGTGGACCACCACCCCATTTATGTTCTAAAACACAGCTTAGATAATTTCAAAGTCTATTGGTCTGATTTGGAAACCAGTATTAAGCCTTGTGCTGCTGGCATCACAGCTACAATAAGGCATGAAAATGAGTATACTGTGAGTGTTAAATCACTATTAGAACATATAAAGCACAGGAGAGAGCTGGCAGGAGAAAAAAGTTACCATCTGAATTGTAAAAAAAAGAAATCTCTGGATTCAGTAATGGAAGCTCTTCATTATCCTTTTTTCATTTTTATGAAACTTTCATATGTTAACATCGTATGTCTTGTCTCAGAAAAGTTACACAATCTTGGACGATCTCCTAACATACCCCAAAATCAAGAGATTTAAAAACAGCTTCATCCTAGATTTTAAATACACTTTCAAATCTATGCATTTCCCAGTCTTCAAGTAATTTTTCAAGGAATGAATGCTTTAGAGAGCCCTTTGAGGTCCATCACAACTGTTACGTATTCAACACTTTAAAGTGGAGTTAATACAGATATAAACACTTGATAATGGGATCCTGTTTTCTTGAACATTAATACTACCCATGATTTAAGACATCTGTCATAAGACTAGGTTATCTACTAGTTACTAAATGTAGTTGGCAGCTTTGATTTCACTGACATCTGTAGAAGCTGCCTTGGTAAAAATCACAGCGGACAGCATCACGTGCCAACAACTTCAGTGGAAGAGAAGTCCTGCCCCTGAAATCTTGTTTGAGAGGCTTACAAACCTCAGGGCACTCCAAGAACGAAAGAGGCACAGGAAATTTTCATGCTAGTAAAGAAAGAAATCTTCTGTCTAAGTCTGTTTATTTTTAGTTTTATTCTCTGTAATTAAAAAGTGTCTGTAATTAAGATGCGTTATCAGTTGGGGAACTTCCATTACCTGCTTGCTGAGTGACAACACTCTCCTTGCTCTGACTGATCTGGAGCACACTTAATTACATTTAGATGACTCTTAGCTGAACTGAAAGATGTTTCTAGCTACCTCTTATACTGCTGCTCTCATTTACCGGCCTGGGGAAATTCTAAATAAGCTATTTTTTTCATTAAAAAACCAAGTAGAAAACCCAACCGTTTTGCAACATGCTACACTTCTTTGCCTGTAAGGTAATCGGTAAGTATAGGCAACAGTGTGAATTTACACCTACAAATTATTTATTTCTATTGTATTGATGCTTCCGCTGGGTTCTCTGATTAGATGCTGAGATAATATGCAGATGGGATTCCAGCAGACATACCCTCCATGCAAAGCAACAGAAAACAAATCAAATAAAAAACATCCTAAAAAAAATAACATATTTCATCATATCTCTTGTAACGTCTCAGTGTTCAACAGATAAAGAAGGAAGACCTTAAAACCTGAAGTCTGAAATACTGTATTTTCTCAGGAACATTAACGTAACCTCATCACTGTCTTACATTTCAGCCAAACCAATACAATTTTAATTCTGGCTTCTGCAGAACAATTCTAGTTATGTAATTGCAAGCTACAAATATTGCATATGCCCACCTTCCTTTCCTGTAAGATAATTCCCCGAAAAGGAGTTACATAAAGTAATTTAAAAATTAATAGGCAACTTCTAATATTGCACTTTCCAATCTTCAGAAATATAAAAATACAGAAAGAAAAATATTTAAAAAAAAAAAATCTTTGTATGAACCAAGGGGAAGAACTTACTTCAGAAATATAAAAATACAGAAAGAAAAAAATTAAAAAATATATATCTTTGTATGAACCAAGGGGAAGAACTTGAGAATCTGAATTTTAATTTCTCTCCCCCTAATGTGATGATTTAATGCTTCAAATTCCTGTTTGTGTGGGCATACAGATGCAGGAAGCTTTTCTTGCACCTTTTATTAACTGGGCTCATCCAAGTGGACTTGTTATCTGTAGCTTCCTTTCACAAACATGGTACAGATAACATCTGAAGATATACTTCTGGGAGACAACTATGGTTATACAAATGTACGCCCCAAAACTATAACAATTCCAAGGAGCCAGCCTCCTGACAAGAGAAAAAGTTCAGTGAATGGCTTCCTGTATTAATGCACTAACGTATACACACAAAAAATCCCAAGTACAGAGAAAAATTGAGTGTTTTGCTGAAGGACACTTACAAAATGCCCCCATAAAGAGATAATATTTCCTCCAGCTCACGAAGGCATCTTCTATTCATGCTCAGACATACTCCTTATTAAGAAAAGGAGACGTTTTATCCAAAAAATTATCTTATGTGAATTATCCAATTACAGCTGCTACTTTTTGAAGTCTTCCTCAGGGAGGTCACTTTCAGAAATAGCTAAAGCATCTATCTGAAGTAACTTCTTTTATACCAAGGAAAAGAAAGCGTTAGCAAGCATATTCCAGTTGATTTCACTGTTTCAGTCAAAGAAAGAAAGATGCGTTCTAGTCCAGTTAATATTTGTTAATAGTCCAGTTAATATTGTGGGGTTTGGTTTTTTGGCGTTTTGTTTGTTTAGTAGGTTTCTTTTGGTTGGTTCTTTTTTTTTTTTGTTTAACTCAGTGATCTAGCCTCTTTATCTCCCAGTAAAAATATTCTGTAACTCTTTAAGACTGAACTACAACTCTTCTGCTCTAAAGCCTCCTACACTGACGGGCTTTGTCAGAGACGCGCCGTTTAGCCATTGTCACTTAGGGGAAGAATAAGCACATTTGTTATTAGGTCATATACAATTATTTACAGTCAAGCACAGCACATCAGCATTGTAGCAACATTTCTCTCATTCACACAAAAAGATAGTTGAAAGGCCAATAATAGTAAAAATATTTTTTTAATGTTTTGATGAGAACACTTTTCTCCACAGATCTTAATAGAGTTAGCAACCTCGCAGAAATTATTACTATATTTGATTATTCTTGTGTTTAAATGCCCTTTAGTAATTCAGTAGCTCGGGATTGGAACAATCAGCATCCAATCAGAATAATCAGCCATGCAAGACCTGGAAGATATCTTCTAGCTCCTCCCTTTACTTTTCCTTCCTCCATTTCTGCTTTCTCACTTATTTTATACACTTCAACTCCATCTTCTTCTGAGTTCCTCACCCCTCCCTTCTGACTGGTCTCTAACCCTCTGCACTGGTACTACCAATATTGTCCCTCTCTTCTTCATTGCTGGTTCAAAACAGGAAAATATTTTGTTTAATTAGTCAGTTGTTGGAAGAAAAATATGAAACACAAAGTATAACTAGACTAGCATATTACTATGTGTATTTAAAACACAATGCTCTTTTATACCTTATTTTATACCTCTCTTTTATACCTTATTTTAAAGCATACAGAGAAAAATATTAAGTTACGCTTCTGAAGTTTCTTCCTAGTTGTCCCTGTCCTCATGAGAAAAAGGTCACCTTCAGAAATAATTACATAATTTATTACTGTGTAAATAAGCACATCTTACTCATGTTTTCTTCGTCATCTACATCCATTGTGAAATATTTTTCCTGGGTTTTGGGCTGGCAGAGACTGCTCCTGTCTGGAAAAAAAAAAAGAGTAGGATATTTAAGCTTCAATGTACCAACAAACAAGGTAAAATATTAGATCTCCTTTAAAAGCAGCAGCCTGGACATTAGTTTTGCTATGGGCTGTCCATGGTTTTTTCTCAATTCTCACATAGTATTTCCCCAAAAGTTCTTATTTCTGTAGCTGAGGTGCACTCTGCAGAATTACAAATTCAAAGTTGGCAAGAATTTAGGGTTTTGTATGATGAATTACAATATTTTTTATCTGAAAGAGTATGTAAACTACTTTATCTCACTACCTTTTTTTTTTTAACTCCAGAATAGCATCAAGTCCACTCCGCAGGTTACCACACAGACAACTTAGGGACTCAAAATACGGGCGATGCAGTTTTTTACCCAGCAACAAACTGATGAATGTCTGTTTGGTTTGGTTAAAACCTGACCCAAGATCCCTTGTAAAAGTGAGATGATCATCAACGACCAAAAGATGTAGCCCTGTATCAGACAAAGGTCAGGGTGGGTAATGTAACCCTCTCTCCCTACATGTGGATTTTCTTACTAACGGAAATGTCCAGACAATATTACATATCGGTTATCTGGCTGAGGGGAAATAGATTTTGTTAACCACAGGGACTTTCATTTCATTAAGAGCCTGATCTAAAGGTCAATATAAGCATCTAACAAGCAAAACATGTAACTTCTCAAGCATTTGGTTTGAAAGAAGGCAACACTTTTACCCCAATCAAAAGCACTAATTTAAGGGTGATGGGGTTTGTGGATTGGTGGGTTTTTTTATTATTCCAATTTTGGTTTTTTTTCCTGACTAATCAAGTACATCACAATATCTGTTGCTTTCTAGGTAATTGCTCCAATCTCATAATGTCACAAGCCTTCAACAGAGAGCACTGAACCACAAAACCACACAGGGACTTATACTTTTAACAAAATATCCATTATTACAGTGAGAAAAAAAATAGTGGAGCATTAACAGGCTTCACATTCTTACACTGGAGTGGATCAAACCATGGAAATTTGTCTTGTACTTGCCAATCTATTGAACTTTGTGCATCTGTCTCTTACCTTTCCTGAAGCATTAACAACTAACTTCTATGCTTTCTATGCTCTGCATTGCAATTTTATTTTTTTAAATATAATTCATTTTCTGCTGATTCTTCACCACAATTAAATGTTTGCAAAGCACCCAAAAAGAGTAAAGTCCAGTACAAATACAAAAATGTTCTGTGACAATCTAGCCTCATGTAACATCTGTAAATTTGATTCCTTTTGCTGACAATCAGATTAAACTAAGATTAAAATATTCCTTTTAAGTGCACCTTCGATCCTACTTCAAAACTATCAGTAGTTCACAGAAATCAAAAGGCAAAACTTCAACCCATTTCACATTATCTCCCAGCCGAGTTTCAGTCTTTCACTCAGCTTACTTTTAGCACAGACAGTATAAATTCCAATGATCTATGTACATGGGAGCACTGGGAGGTAGGTGGCATAAAAGACGCCGCTTGGTTTCATGCTGCTGCATGGGCTTGTACAATTCACAGCACTAAAATATTTGCTCTATTATATTACGTTTTGCCCTTCCCTCAGTGAGGACACATATCTCTGTCTCTCCTGCAGCTGCCAATGCCAAGTATTTAGGAACTTCAGTGCTCTGAGACTTTGTTAAGTGTCAGCACTGGTGGAAATCAGACAGCACAGTCAAAAGTTATCGAGAAGGGGAACCATATAAACCAACATGGTCACTTGATAAGGTTGACAATAAAATCAATAGCAAACATAGCCACATGCCCACTTTGTAACAATGAATTTGGTCCATCTCTCTTCCCACCGCTTGTGGGAAAATCTAGCTTTAATTCTACTCTACACTAAAACAAAAGGCAGAACTTTGCACTGACATTCTTCTAAATGCACAGGTGGCATACCAAAGTAATCCAACTGCATAATATGTAATTACCAAGTTTTGCAAAAAGAAAGTAGCCATTCCGCCCGTTTTATTATTTTAGCAGGGAATTCATGCAAAGCACAGTGGAAATCCAGAGTCTGGGTGTAAACACCAAACATAATGAACCACTTTATTTCGTTTCGTTCTTTTCTAAGTCAATTTGGCTTTATCTTTGCTAACGTAAGAAAAAAAGAAAAAGCTCACAAAAAATTCCATCCAAGGATGAAAGATCTGCAGGGGCATGATATTTATAAAGAAACAAATAATGCAGCTGATGGCTCAGCAGCAGTATAACCCAGAGGGATAACGCAGAAGCAGCACTCATCACCCCTGGAGCCCAAACAGCTGGCTGAGCCATTGATCTGCTGATCAACACACTCAGACTTCATTGCTGATCTGCCAGGTGATGACTTTGGGACAGGATAACGACATGACTTGCCCAGTCACACTGTCATTTCAAAAAGGGGTTTTTGTAAAATTGCAACCACTGGCACATAGGTGATTAAAATGTAAATGTTAAATGTGTGTATCAGAAACATCAAGAAACTTTTAGTCTAAAAATACCAGATACTGAGAAATGAAGAATGATGTTAAAATATACATATAGAAGCATAACTTTGCAACTTTAACATCCATGCTAAATATTTTTATTCAGTAATTTAAAACAATCAAATCTGTTTATCCTCAACTAAACAGATCCTCAGGACACTATTTGCAATCTTTACAGCTTACTTTTGACAGCAGGAGTTAAGCAGTCCTTCCTGAAAATGTAAAATGTGCCTTTAGCTATCATTGCACTAATTAATGCTGTGTCTCTAACAGTAGAACGAGGAATAAACAGATCACTATGTTTGTGACTGTTCCACACACTGTTTCAAAAACAAAGCCCACGTGCTTGGAGATATCCTGAATTTCCTACCACCACCATAAAACATTTGCAATCATCCCAGTTTGTGACCTGAATGAGTGTCTGCTCAGGCAAGATGATTCCTTTTCACTCCCCAGCCCTATCTTGAGAAGATTCTGGTTTAAGTAACGAAGAGGACTGTGCACAAAGAGGGAGAAGAGGCGGTGACAAAAGGTGCAAAAACACACTTCTCAGCACAATGAAGCTGCTCAGATTCCCCACTAGACAGACAGCATGAACTCAAGCAGAACATAAAAATATGACAAGACAGACAAGCAGTAAAACTCCCTGCTAATTTTGGCACCAGCACTGCAGAATTTCAAGGGCGCAGAGCTAAAACACTTGACTCACACATACTACTTCTCCTGAGACTCCCAGGAGCACCTAAAACAAATCACATCATTTCCACGACTACTTTTTTTTTTTTTTATTTAAATCCTAAGCCTATGTGCAAAATGACTACGTAAACTCATCTTAAATGCATGATAGCTTTAGGTAAACTGTGAGTTTCAGAGTGGCAATCTGTTTCCCACACCCCTATCATTAACCTTGCCGTACCACAGCCTCTCTGCAGGCCCAGAACAAATCCTGTTTTCCAGGTAATATGTGCGCACTCAAAGAGCTGCTTAGACCATCGCTTCCAGCCCGGATACACACACACGCACTTACCCTCTTCTTCCTCCATCCCTTTCACTTCACAGAAAGCTCATGTAGTTCTTCAGGCTCAGCCCAGCTCCATCACCAAACAGCTATGAGACCAACTTGAACTTCATGCCACAAAGCCATCAGCTGTGCCTGTCCCACCAGGCTTTGGCGTGAGCACTGTCACACCAGGAACAAGCTCCCTGCGAGCGCCTGGAGAGCTGTAACATGACTGTCTCAAATCCTACCCCAAAGCTCTTTCTGGCTGCAGTGCCCAGTGGTCCCAGAAATGGCCACCCAGGAGCAGGTCCATGAGCCCACGTCACTCTGCTGACCTTGCAACCCCATTGAACACACACCTCCCACACCACTAAACCTGACAGGCTTCACCCCTAAGATGCTCCTGCCTCATCTGACACAGCACAGGAGAGGTCCAACTGTAAGGCAAACCCCATTTAGCATCAGAGGACCTCCAACGTACTCCAACATAGGTGGACTATTCCTCATCTGATCTAAAATACTCGTGATGACCCGAGGGGGATGCAGAGCCTCACATCATGTTTTGCCACAACCACTTCAGGCTGGCTGGCAGAGTCCCCATCCTGTGACAAAGCCTGTCCCAGGACAATGCTGGGGGAAGCAACAAACCAGTAACTATAGCTGCCATAAGCTTGCCTTTAAAAAAGCATATTTTACTAAGTTGAGTAAAACAAGTAGATCACATCAATCACTCTTAATTTAGATAGAGTTTAGGAGGCAGAAAAGCCTTTCAAACATACAAGTGGGAGCTGATCAGAGTTCCCTTTCTTTCCGGCTTCAACAGCCTCTGGATTTCATCCATCCACCCAAATGCCCCACTGTGCTGAATGGGGCCCTCTCCTGCTTAACGCAGAGCTAATCACCAGCCTCCTCCCCGCAGAGGATTGTGTTGCTATACCAGTGTATTATGCTAAACAAGAATTTGCAAATGTGTGTATTACTTAACATTGGCAAGTATGTTTTTTATTGCCTTTCTTGCAGCACCTCCTGTCCCTAGACCCATGACCACTGGGGGCTGGGGCAGTGATGGTGGCATCAATGCCAAGTACACAGGTGCCAGCAATGACCGACAACAGAAATACAGAATCACAGAATCCCATGGGGTTGGAAGGGACCTCTGGAGATCATCCAGTCCAACCCCCTTAGATGTTTTTTATTGCCTTTCTTGCAGCACCTCCTGTCCCTAGACCCATGACCACTGGGGGCTGGGGCAGTGATGGTGGCATCAATGCCAAGTACACAGGTGCCAGCAATGACTGACAAGAAATCAGCACCTCCTGTCCCTAGACCCATGACCACTGGGGGCTGGGGCAGTGATGGTGGCATCAATGCCAAGTACACAGGTGCCAGCAATGACCGACAACAGAAATACAGAATCACAGAATCCCATGGGGTTGGAAGGGACCTCTGGAGATCATCCAGTCCAACCCCCTTAGAGGCAGGTCCACCCAGAGCAGGTCCCACAG